CCCCCCCCCCCCCCAAAAAAAAAAACACTGTGAACACTACAAGCAGCCTTTCAAACGACCTTATGAACCCGATCTGGCACGCTGAACGAAACGATCGCCAGTCATTGGCACCAAATCTGGCTATGGTGTCGCTCTAACACACGGCACCAACGTTCGCATTTCTGAGCCTATCGCGTTCGCCTTTGATTGGCTGCATCCTCCTCCGTTTTGGCGCGTTTATATCTAGAAAACAATCTAACTGTGGGGGTTGATAAGCAGACGAAATTTCTTTTTGTTAATTCGGCAGTTTAATTCCTCACTGATACGCAAGTCTAAAACGACCTTTGAAAATCAGTGGTGAAAGTAAACAAGCACAACCCATTATAACAAAATCAATAGTTTTCTTTTAACAAAAGCATAATTATTTTAAATTATGATATGGTTATTTTGGGTGGGACAGAAACTGGTAATTTTAACTTGGTGTAACAGCAGATAATTTTCAATATAAATGCTACTTCTTTACAGAAAGTAGGCGGAATTAAATTGCTCGTCACGCTCGTAAATCAAAGCATGAATTTTGTGGCATTTCTCTGCAGGATAATCAAACGCGCCGGTGAGAAGCAAACCCACAACACCGCGGATGGCAACGGGAGTGGAATACGCGCAAATAAACACAACGAAGCACCGGTATTGGCTTACCGATTCCTCACGATGATGTGCCTGGCGATGAAGTAGTAGGCGTCGAGGGGAAGCGTGCCGTGGTAGTAGACTAAAAAGGCTCCCTCACCGGGAGGCAACTTCTCCATGCCAACCACCTCGTAGCCGTGGAATGCGCGCCCGTGCGCCTCCCAAACCGCCGCGACCACCAGTCGAAGCAGTTCGTCCGTGGGGAAATGGGCGTCACCAGCGCCGCGAAATGCTCCTGCAAAGAGAAGTCGTGGATGTTAAAAAGAGGGGTAAAGTAAGTGGGGGGACGGTGCAAAGGAGCAGGTGACGGGTCTGCAGCAATTGCAGTCACATGACGTCAGCTAATTCAAAGCAAAACGAACAAACAAACAAGAAGACCCACGAAGTAGCCACCCGCGGAGACAGAAGAGTTGCACCATGAGCGCCGTGGAGTAGAGGAAGACAACGAAGGCCACGGGGAGGAGGAAGACGATGGCGAGGGGCCACAGCCAGGCGACGCAGGCGACGAGGTACGGGGTCAGCGAAGTGACCTCCACCGTGGCAACCATGAAGCGCACCAGGGGGGCAATGAGGTCACCGGCACTGCCGTTGAAACAGTTGAGCAAGTCGGGGCCATCGGTACTCGCGCCGTTGTAGCACACTGTCCAATTGGTTAGAAAGAGGTAGAGGGCGATTGAGGTGAGCAGAAAGGCGGCAGCGCCGATCGCAAGGACGGGCAGCACAAAACCAAGACAGATCATCCCGACTGTGCGTGGGGTGTCTGGGACGGGGAGTGACCTACAAAAACCGACACGGTACGGTGCAGCATTTGTCCTGCTACTTCCGTGCAACCCTTTGTTTTACCGTGCAGTTGTTTTTGAGACACTATTCAAGGTTCAACTGTCAGTGAGCGCCCATATTTGTTGTATACATTTACCGTTTACTCTATCTGTTGTCGCGATATTTGTTGTTTAGGATAGCCTGCATAAGACTTCTATCGGTTCGGATTGTTGATGTCATTCTGCTAGTGCTTAAGCTGGTAGAGGTAAGTCATTGGAAACACCACTTAAAAAAGCTTCAAGAACACCTGATGGTGGTAAATTTGCAAAAAAATACAACCAGTGTACGTTAGAAATCCATATAACCATAACCCAACCAGCAAATGGCTAATTTTACTTCTTGGGCCACTGAAAACAGGCGGTTCCGAATCCGCAGCCAATGAAGGGAACAGCCCACATAATCACACAGTGGGAAAGAATATCCACTCGACATGCATTAGCACCACTGTCACAACAACCGAACTGTGTGTAGTTTTCGGCGTTCTGTCCTTCATTGGCAATAATGTCGTGTGGTGTGGTATAAGCAAACGTCAAACTCACATTTCAGCGCTAGTTAATTAGGACTGAAGTCCTCTCCACAAGTTTTTTTTCTGCAGCCACCAATGGGTTTAACTTGAGAGATTAGTTGTAGGATCGACGTTTTACACGAGGGCCACTTGATCAGAGCACTTTGCTGTGAATCGCGTTGATTCACACTCGCTAATCCGATCACTTCAGCCTCCGACACAGGGTACCGATGCTCAACTCCCCACGCATTATCCTGGATTATCCCCATACCTAGGTCTCGAGGTTAGCGCATGTATGACTCTCGCATCTGAGGTATAAATACACACGCGCAAACTCCACACACGACACAACGCCACCAACGTGGTTGAGCTCTGAAGTAAACGGTTGTGTCCACGTCCTTTCCTGTCTTCTTTTTCACCACGGGTTGCAGGGAAGCGTAATCGGGCCAGGGTTAATTCCGTGGCCCCGGCGTGGTTCAAGACCAAATGCCACTTCCACTTCTTCCATTCCTGACAGTAGATATGTCACGATAAAACTGACCCCCAACACTTGAACTGATTTACCATCAAGGCGCAGACGCCCTCTTCAAAGATGTGTTATCCGACCTTCATAACTTAGCATGTACTATGTAGAAAGTAAGTGCTGGCATTAGCGTGAACTTGTGCGCATAGAGTGGGTGACCCGAGCTGGCATTTTAATTATGGATTGGCGGATTCGTGAATAATCCAATGTCAGTTTGCGCCATTTTAAGTTCTAGCTTGCAAATTTTCCGAGGTGTCAAAAACTAGGTGCAGGCACACCAGAAACTAGAAGAAAACAGTGGGGCTTTTGCACTCGTGAATGCCAGAAAAAAAATTTCAATCAACAGTAAAACCACGGGACATTTTAAAAAGAGAACGAGGAAAATCAAAGCTTTCGGAACAGGCACCTAAGCGACATGCTTCAGTTTCGCTTATTGCAAGTATTTCTGAAGGGGTTACTGTCCTTACACGATCAAAACGGTGCATAAGAGATCCGTGAAAATCTAGAATGCAAAGGGCAGAAAAACAAAAATACGAAGGAACTGGAGAAACGAAATGCGAGGTATGCAAAGTGCCACTACGTGTGACCTTGAATGGTGGCGGTGCAAAATCAGTAAGTGATCTTGAGCAGCCGGAAGTTAGCCATGAACGCACTGACAACAATTGAATTAAGAACAATTTCTCCATTTTGTGGTAAGTTAATAGACACTACTGCAAGTCGAAAATAACATCAGCGAGATTGAGATAAGGCGCCGTTGCTGGTAATTCGCTCAAGATGCTCAGGCAATTTCGATTAGGACTGTGGCGATCAGCCAGCGAGCATTGTTAGCAAGCGTGAGCGAGCACAGCACCGGTCGATTTGCCAGCATGCAATCCGCGCAGCCGTTCGTGCAGGGCGCGATGCCAAGCACTTCCATCTAACCCGACGACTTATTACCACGTACAAACACGCCATCACCGCATCAACATACTAGTTGAACAACGCGTTACCTCTGGTACCCTCTGGAAGGTCGCTTGGTCCCGACGTGGTTCTCGAACCGGGACCACAACACCAGGGTCTGTTGGAAGGACAATAACTGGGTGCAATCGAACACATTCGAACCAATTGATTTTGCACAAAAAAGGGTTCAAATCTAACAGATCGGCAAACAGCAGTATGAAGAGCCATCATTGACTGCCGGTTTAGGCAAAAATCTCCAGCGAGTACTGGCTGTGGCCATCGCAAGATCAAAATATACGTCGCCATTGGGCGATGGGCATGTAAGGAGGCATCGCAAATGATAATTAGGCAGACTGAGTAATCGCGGATGCTTGGTTTTGTGCGGACAAAACTGGCCCATTCAAGTCGCGATGAGGGTGCACACGCACAAAGGAACAAAACAAGCGCCGACCAAGTGAACGCAGAGGGACTTGAAGGTCGTCGTATACGGCGGCACTGCGCCCAATCGCCTCACCCAAGGTAAACAATGCGCGACGTGTTACGCTCGAGTTAAATACTTGCAATGAGTAAAAAAACGGTTGATGTGAATGCGACCATGGGAGGAAAGGACTCAGCTTGCATTTGACCAACAGCAGAACAAAATTTATGTGCAAGTTTGTGTGACAAGAGTGCAAGGGAAAAACGACAAGATGCCAGCGCACAAAAAATCGCAAAACCATCCGGTAACGCAGGCATTTTGAAAGTGATTCTGACCTCAGAGGTCAGGCCAGCGACATCGGCAAAAATCCACCTTTAGGTAGGTCTTCAACTCCTTTTTTGCCAAATTGGGGTGGCGTCAGATCACGAGTTTCTATTTAAGCAATACGCATAATTGACGAAATGGAATAATAGGGAGGGGTAGTGGGTAGTTTAGAGTGCAGCCAACCTGCTAAATCACAGCCACCAAAATTGGCAGCTTCGGCCCCGTTGTAGGTGATCACACGCAAACAAACACATCACGGAACAGACGCTGTGTGGCAAACACAAATACTTGTTTGACAGCGCCTTCGCATCCACCTAGTTGATAGCCGCAACACCGATTTCTCACAACTGTACTTGAAGCTATTCACGTCACATTTGAAACGAAATCCCATTCTCTGCCTCAGCTGGTCCTTTCACATCCTAAGAATCGGCAAAATGTACGCCCTGTAGACTACTTTAAATTTGAAAGAAATTAGCGGGTCAATTTAATTGGTAAACAAAACTCAGACGGTTGAATTACAAGGGCTCTGAATGTGATATTCCACATGGGGTAAAAGCCAGATTATCCGGCAGGGCCATTTAAGTGAGGGCAACACCCAACGCAGCCATTACGTTTTCGTTACTCCCATTACCACACCACATAAAAAGAATGTTTTGTTTTTAAATCTAGCACCAGGAAGCCGCGTGAACAATATAGCAAGTAGCTCATTCTACGTAAATGGCCAATAGCAGTAACCGCGTGAAATGAGATGGGAAAATTTTAGCTCGAATAGTGTTTGGATTGGCACCAAAAATTAATAGAATCCTTTTTTTCGTCCGCAGAACAAAAGGATGCATTTTAGTGTACACTTACATGAACTCCAAAAAAGTGCCCCTGTGGTGTTCTTTGGAGTCATTCGGTAAAAACGTAGGGCTGGAGTGTATGTGAGGACGCGGCAAACGATTGTGCTCGAAATCATACACCCGCACGCCACCAAACAACAGTAGATATATTTATCAAAACGGAAGCAATCGAGGTATGACACGCTAACACTTGAACTGATTGAAGATGAATCACACCTTGCCGAAAACGATTTGATGAAAACGTCAATAGTTGGATTGCTTTAGAAAACGTTTATTAGGTGACAAGGGCGTACGTGACCGATACACGGCTGCGAGAAAGTCACTGTAAACGATACACAACATCGCTGCCCAAATCTGCTAAACAGTCGCATGGCCTTACAATACAACTTTCAAACATACCACGTTCCAGTCTGACTGCCTAACCAGACAAGTGTGTGTTAATTACGCAAGCAGAAAATTTTAAGAAAATGATAACTTTAGCGCAATAGTCCAGACTGGAATCACGATGAATTTGAGTCACAATTACTAGGATCACCATCCCCTCAGGATACGACACAGATTTGACACCAGCAGATTAAAAGACAAGTCGCTAGCAGCAAACCAAGACCATTCACTTTAACATGAAAATATTCATTATGTACTAAACGGATTTCAAATTCAAAGTACCCAGAGATAGAGAAAGTGGAATGAAACAGTTAGTTGAACCTAAGTGCAACGTTTAAAGTTCTACTGTGGGATAAAAAGAGAGTCAGGGTGTAAAATTTGCCACTTTGGAACGCACTCTAGAGATGTTAAGCGCGAGATTAGTACGCTACGCTTCCGATGTTGACCACTTTAGGGTGGCACAAGTATATGTCTCCTTACCGCAAATACGGATTATGTTTCCATACGCTACTTTTAGTCAACGTACTAGATCGCTGCGTGTTTGTTTAGGCAAAGGAAGCAAAATCTGATACACAAGCGCTGTTTGCACTGGGATCTTCCATGATGCAACAAAAATGCGACACAAATAAGCACTACGATGTCCCGGTAAGACAGTAATAATAATGGCCACTTTCAGGTTGCAAATAAAAATAGTATGTTATATTCTTTAAGAATAGGGACCAAAAGTGCTAAGACACTACAGAAACGTTATTGAAGAACGAGAACAACAACCCGTATAATCGTAGTATTTAGACGGATGGAAACAAGAAAATGTGAAGCGTTCCATATTAGTGATTTTATACATAGAAGCAGTGTTATTCTTTCTACAATAAAACAAATTTGAACTTAGTACTATATGACAGCACACTTCGCATGTTGCTAAAGCAATATCGATATCCTCTAAAGTGAAAAACACACAAGCTGATATAAAGTAGGCTTGCTGGGGA